GAGGCTGGTGGTGGGAGCGGGGATTTAAGTAACTTGCCCAGCCGTTGCAACTGCCGCATCATTGCCAGATCGAATTGACCTGGCGACCTAGGTTCAAAGGCCAGTGTGCTAACCTTTTCACCGTGGCTTGCGTCTGTGATGATTGTAGTGGCCACTAATGGGCGCAGGGTTCACATGAACCCATTGCGAGAAACGTAAATAATATAACGTGGATTCTGTCCGCGATGAAGTTGTTTGGGTTTGATCGTGGAAATGTTTTATGTATGTATGTTGAACTTGTTTCGCACCATACGTAGCCAAGCATGCTAATCAGAGGCCTGGGGGAAGGACAAAAAAATAAAAACAAAAGCAGTTGTAAAGAAAAGAAATGTCATTTTAGATTTGAAATTACAGTGGCTTCATATCGGAAGTAAGAGCGCTCCAGATGGCCGCAGAAGCGCATCTGAAAGCGCGTGATGCGGTGATCGTGTCGTACACCCACCTCCACCCGACACAGCCAATCGGTAAGGTTCATCACGTGAACAGAACGTGACAATTAGTTACTATCGGTAAAGTCACGTAGGTAAAACATTCAATTACTAAAAGTAATAATAGAAGTAAAATAAAATAATTTTCTTTTTTATTTAGTAATTTTATTTTTTACCTACGTGACTTTACCGAAAGAACCAAGAACATGAATCCTTGCTGTCACGAAAGCTTTAAATCTTGAATTAGTTACTACTTCGGCACCACCAGTTGTGTGCTAGGGACTTAACCCACAACAGCATTTGCAACCAACATTTTTCTTTTCGATTTAAAGCTTTCGTGACTGCAGAGATTCATCTTCTTGGTTCTTTCGGTAAAGTCACGTAGAAGGGAAATAATAAAAAAAAACATTTATTATTATTATTTTATTATTTCCCTTCTACGTGACTTTACCGAAAGAACCAAGAAGATGAACCAATATTTTTATGGTGATTACAACCATGGATTCTGTTGCACGTGTGATTTACACACGCGGGTGTCACGAGCTTAACCGTCGATGCGAGTTGACAATTCAAGCATTGTGAGACCCCAATTGCGACGTGAGCTTGTGCCCGAGATGGATCACAGCAGCGCAGGTTTGGTGTCCGTGCTTTTTGGCTGCAAGTGGTGGCTTAGTGGTTTGTGCTGCGGTCTTGGTGACCCCTGCATTCAGTTTTCTTTGCAATGCGTAACATTGGTGACGGTGCGTTTCGACCTTCTACGTACGTCTCTAAAATAGAGCTCTGTTCACTCGTTCGGTATCATTAGCCAGGGGGAGGCAGATGTAGCCGTGGGGCACGCTCGCCGCACAAAGATCCACGCGTGTCCCCTTGTTCCTGCGGTGACGCTTCGTTTCGACCTCCGTCCAAATTGAGCACTTTTCGGCGTCTGGGCGTCACAGTCAGGTGTAACCGGGTCACGCTGGCCGTACAATCCACTCGCGTGTTCTGTTCCAGTCTTCTTTTGTAAACGGCGCGCAATTAACCTTGGCACATTGTAGTAAACATGTGCTTGTGCAGTGTCAGGAAACTAAAAAAGGAAAAGGTTTTTTCTCGACTCTACAGATTTATAAGCGAAGTAAACGGCATTTTAGAAGTGATTGCAGCCAATTACTCGCCTCGCATATAGCCTCCGTTTGCTCGATGCCGCAGCTGTTGCGGTTACAATTCAGTGTCAAAGGCCTGATCTGAAATTATCCAACTATCTCGGTTTGGTTTAGGCCTTACCTTTGGTCGCTTGTCTCTGGGTATCCATTACAATTTTTTATTTTTGCAGCCACTTGTGGCCTAATGATTGATGCCTACGGCTTGGAAACGATCAGCAAGTAACATTTATCCTTCACTGCAAAGATCGTAGCCGCCCTAATCGAGCACTGGCGGAGCCAGTGGGGGGGGGGGGGGGGGTGGCACGTGCCCCCCCAATGATCCGATCGAAATCCCTAATTTCGAAGGGATCATTGGGGTTTATTAGTAATAAATCGGCATTTTGCGACCCCCACTGCCACTGTGTAGCATATTATTACGTGCCAGGGACTCTATGAGATGATAGGACAATAGTCTGAGTCCATAATTGGCAACAAGTAACGGCGAAGCAGTTATAAGTGACTCAGAATTGTGCGCAGTTGCGTATACAGCACACGACTTCCCTGAAGGCATCAACACCTTCAGCGAGCGCGATGCCGATCACACAACGCGGTTCTAATTCGACCCTCGATCGATGGCTGCGCCATCGCTGCACTTGCGTCGAATAAAAAAAGCAAGGGACAAGTCCTGACTTACTAACAACTCCTATAATTTTTCATTGCTGGAGGGGTTGCCCCCCTACCTGAAAATCCTGTCTCCGCCATTGCTAGAGGGTAAGTTTTTGACCTGGAAAAAGGATTTTGTTTCCAAATTTATCGTGCTTGGTCAGCAATGGAAGATGATGTATCATTATTATTTTCATGTTATTATCGGATGACGCGAACGATGTGTGTTAATGTGTGGTTGCTGACATTTCACGTGGCCTTAAAGTGCACATCGCCTGCAAACAGGGAGCGGTAGTGCAGCGGTTCGCGCGCTGCGCTACGAACGATGGCAGCCGGGGTTCGATTCCCGCTCGCGGTCAACACTGGTGACGATTGTCTGAACCGGTCCAGCCTCAAATGATTACCTGGTGCGGTGTGTAAACATCGCCACTGGGGAGACAAAGGCGGCCGGAGACATGGTCCCGCCCACCCACCCCCCTCGTGTGTCGTACCGGTGCTACTCGCTAACAGCGCTTGCTGCTCCAGTCTGTTAAGGATATACGGGGGATCTTTGTCTTTGCCCACCAATGATGTCAGATTACTCTTTGGTTCTTTCGGTAAAGTCACGTAAAAAGAAAATAAATTAGATAATAGAATACGACGTTTCGATTGCAACACAAGCAGTCGTCATCAAGTAGAACAACTAAATTTGCGAGAGAGACAAAACACAGACACGGAGACACAGACAGACACACAAGCAGAGAGAGACATCACAGAGACACACAGAGAGAGACATACAACATAGACACACAGAGACCCAATGCCTCTGTTCAAGTTCATTTATTAGGTAAAGCCCTGTGAACCATTCGGCTCTTGAATCGGGTGCAACCGCAAAAAACAAAAAACTAAAACATGAACAAAAAAACATCTTAATGTGAATATGTGACTGGGTGCAAACAGAAAATCCAAGAAAAGACAGCAAAATATTGCAGAAAAAAACACCGTACACCAACGCTCTGTGTCGAGGCCTTAAATATAGAGAAAAGGGGGGGGGGCAGAGAGAGAGAGGTGGTTTTGCTGGAGCAGAGAAATTAGCATGTCAACGAATCCACCCCGAAGCGACCGAGGGAAAGAAGATGAGAGCCTGGTAAATTTTAGAGAGAGAAATAGTTTGAGAAAACAAAATTTTGCAAATATTTTGGAAATGTTATGTAATGCCACACAGAGAGTCGGCTAACACACAGTTAACGCATAGCCTGGTCGATTACGATCTCCAGAGATGTCAGATTGTTATATTAGGCTCTCAATAAGGTGAAAGCTTCCCCCACCGCTGGTATGAATCGTAGAACTATACAGGCCGGGCATGTAGAGGAGTGGTTATTAACCTTTACTTTTGCGGCCTTGCACCCCTTATGATTCTCAATTGTACAAAAATGTTAGTAAATACATAGGTTTAAAGCTTTCGTGACTGCAGGGATTCATCTTCTTGGTTTTTTCGGTAAAGTCACGTAGAATGGAAATAATAAAAATAATACATAATAAAATTATTCTCACGACGTTTCGGCCACAACGCAAGCAGCCGCCCTTTACCGAAAGAACCAAGAAGATAAATACATAGGGTTTGATGAAACAAAGTAGTTGTACTGACATGCCCGTGTCTAATTTGTGTTTCGATGATATACCTTCGAACAAAAATTTGGCCATGTCTCGCACCCCCAGAAAGTGCATCTCGCACACCAGGTTAAGAACCACTGATGTGGAGCATAGACTACCTAAATTAGTGAGGAGAAGCATGTCTGAGGCTCGCATTGTCTGCTTCTGAAATTCCCCAAATCTAGTTTTAATCACACCTATATGAAATTTTTTTTCACCCTATGGAAGGTTACCATTGCGTTGAACGTGAAATTCCAGTTACTTATTTGCAGATTTCTTGTAGTACAAATGATCTCACCTGAGGATAATTGGCCAAGCAGTGGGCATTCAACTGCCTCCCTCAAAATATATATTGGCCTCCCATAATGCAGTTCTGCAATATCATAACTTGACCACGCTGGTCAGTGCGAGTTAGTGAAGGACCGTTACTTATGTATGTGTGTTTGTTTCGCACTGTACGTAGCCAACCGTTCTAATCGGAGGTGCGGGGACATCGGTTAGAGCTTTGTCCTGGCAGTCGAACTGAGGTCGGTTGAGTTCATAGATGGGCGATAACCGCTGCCTCGCTACAAAGCCCCGCATCATGTTGATGCACGTTCGAATTTCAATCAATGCTATTTTTTTTTGTTTAAAAGGTTTGTTTACTGCTCAATATCTGGTAATGGAAAACCATTCATACTCGCATGCCAATTGAAAACTGTCCACGTGTCTGCGTGCCTCAAATGTTATGTACACTTCAAATGTGTTTCCAAGGCACCGTCACTGCAAAGTGCATCAGTCAATCCTTGTGCCCTTTCTGCTCCGAATAAAGGGCATTTCTTGAAAATGTTACCCGGTTATATTTTCTTTTTGGAGGCAGCGTCGTAGCGTTTAGCACATTCGAACTCGGCCCATTAACATTTTTTCACCATTCACGTACGTTGTGTCGTGCCGAAGAAATACCAGTATCACAACAGACAGGGATATGCACCCTGGTATCGTGACATTACACACCACACAAAAGCAGACCACTCTGTGTGTCACGTGCACTCGGCACTGAACCACATGTTGTACTTGAGCGAAAATGAGGACTGTGCACCCGCGCTGACATCGGTTTTGCTGTTCTAACTTCTTCCAGGTGACGAGATTGATTTCGGCCAGGCATTCTCACACGCGGCCCACGGAGAGAACACACTGCGGGTGGAAGACTTGGTTAAAGAGTATTTTAAATCCGCCGAAAAGGTAAATTATTCAGCAGCCAGGGGCGTCACGCGAACGCCTTGCATGCCTCGGGTCATTTATGGAAATTGGGTAAAAGGGTGCGGCCCTGAAAATGCATTGCTCATTTCCCTGCCTGCACGCAGGCCTGCTACTTTTTCCACGCTGGCCAGTTGTCTTCGAAGAGGTGGGTGGATTCTGACAACACTTGACCTCCCGATCAATCAACTGTGGTGTTCCCATTCATACTACTTGGTGGACAGAGGTGGGGGGGGGGGGAGTTTAAGAAACCTACCGATCTTTTCCACCAGTTACCTACGCATTGCAAGTTCACTGCCGCTATTACACCACAGCAGCATATCCCCTTCCTGGGAAGTCATTCCACGTGGTTCTGTTCCTGATTTGAACTCCGTTCCTACCGTACAGCAGGGCTGAACACTGCTGTTGTAAAGTCTCTACGGGTGCCTGAAGCATGCAGCCTCTTAAACTCGCATTCGGTTGCCATGTTTGAAGGTCTCAGCTCCTTCTAGATTAGAAGTTTCCGTGACTGCAAGGATCCATACTCTTTGGTTCTTTCGGTAAAGTCACGTAGATGAAAAAATAAAAAATTAGAATAAAAATAAAAGATAGAAATAACTCAATTAAATCACGACGTTTCGATTGCAACACAAGCAATCAGCATCAGGTGTGACAACCACAGCAAGAAATTGTTACTGAAGTGTTTCTCTGAAAGTTTAATAAAAACAAGATTGGCATTCCCTTCTCTTATTCTGTTCCTCCTTTTGCTTGACTTCCTCATGCCTCCACACAAGTCTCTCTTTGCAGTCTCCCCACCAGTCACCTTGAATGACATCACGACTGTAATCTCCAAGCTTAACCCTTTCCCGTTACGATGACGTACATTGTTGTGAAAGCCTACGTGTGAGATTAGATTAAGAGGTGTTTGGCTATTTTAATAACTTAATGTCATAAGCTGCGCGCGCCTTCAAACATCTATTTGAACTGACTCAATTATCTGAACCGAGAGGTTTAAACAAAAAATCTTTGATATTTTTGAGCACGTAAATGTTTTTTTTTTTAAACAGAAAAAGAATCTGCCTCCAATTTATAGAATTTCTGCCACATTAAAAGCAGTGTGTGGGGTGCAAGTGATTTGTCTCGTATTGATAATTGCCTCCACAGTAAATCCGATTTCATCTCTCGAGTGTGTCGCTACATTCGTAGTTTCACACTTGAAGAGATAATCCTCACTCACTTAATTGTGCTTGGTAATAGGGGTGCTCAATGTGTGTACGGAACAGATACGTTCAAGAAAAGTTGCCTGTCAAACGAAATTCCATACACCGAACCCTATCTTCCCACCGACCTCCATTATACAACTGGAGATGCATAATTAAAGCACACTTTGGGATGCAGAAAGCCCTCTTTAAAATACAGTATTTCATGGAAAAATCGAAAAAAAATTCTGATAAAATAGTGATAAATAATAATATCTAAAAAAAAGTCGCAAAATAAATAAATAAAATACCTTACAGTACTTAACACGCAGGCTGTCACGACCAATTTGACGTTAATGTAGCCTTTGCGTGATGTCTGTCCCACATCGGGAAAAGTCAGCTGCAGTGCAAAGAAGAAATGTTAATCCACCAATTAGTCCACGACGTGGACTTTATGGAAGCCAAAGAGTTTTAGTTCGTCAGCCTCGTTACTTTGCATACATTTTCAACTTTTCTCAACGTAAGTTCGACCAGCGAAGATGCAGGAACATCTGCTCTGCGACAGTAAAATTCTGGGTTCCATTAAGGCCCCATTTGTGATTTGGGCAATTTTTGTCCAGAGGGGAATGATTCCGCGGAGATGTACACTCGGACAAATGCACGTTTCACGAGCGCACGGTGTATCTCTGCTCATTCGATTACACTGGTCAACACACTTTTTCTGGCATAAGGTATTCCAACGGTTATAAGGTAATTTTGGGGTGCTGATTCCAAATCTGGCATCAGTTTTTGCCTATCACATCAGGATTTTGAGATATCAAATATTGCATTTTCAATAAAAACTGCAGAAGAAAAATATTAAATAAATGTGGATATCTACATAAAATTATATTATAAACACACTATCCTAAAAATACAGCACCATATTTTAACACTAAAGCAGTCACTGACAAAAGTCCAGGCCAGAAAAACATGTTTTTTTTTGTTGACCAGTGTATTATTTGTGGGGCCACTAGAGATAGATCCTGTTATCCGTGTCTATTTGCATCAATTACTCCTCTTATCCGCACAGGAAAGTGCATATAAATATGCGTAATATGACGACTTTGTCAACACGTATGTGTCACTCCTCATATCTAAGCAAAGTCTCGGATGATTATCATATTTTGCTACTGGCAAAAGAGGTTCCAATGGTGTAAATTCTTAACCCGAGCTCTCATACTCTGATGGCACGTTGTCTTTGAGTTGTGCGCCTTTTGGCGTCATCTGGTCCAACACCAGGGTGAGACTAGGCTCTAAGAAAAGCTGTCTCGGGTGTGGACCAATCAATTTCAAGGACAGTGCATACATTTTCAGAGTTGTGTTTTTTGTTTGAATTCCGACCGCAGGTATTGTGGTCAATACAAACATGACTCCTTGTAAAAAAGGTCTCAGTTTTGTTGCCAGATTAAATGGTAAAAATAACAATTATCTCTGATGATAATCGTCGCGTGGATAAGATTTCTTGACACCAATAACAGCAGTGTCGTATAACAATAATAATAATAATTTACAGGCCTTTTTGAGTCCGCTGATGGATGAAGGCCTCCCTCATGCCGTGTCGCTCATGGGTGTTGTTTGACCATCATTCACCGCACTGGTCAGTGCGGGTAGGTGATGTCAGCCCCTGGTCCGGGAATTGAGCTCGGCTTGTCGGGATCACGGAGCGGCGCGCTAACCACCATTCCAACCACTCCACAAATCGGATAATGGGTGTACGGACGAATAACAGTGAGCAGCGCTCTCCGTTAACGCGTTGTGGCGCGCGTGTTTTATTCAGAACGTGCAGCTGGCGCTGTTGACGGAACGAGGAATGGGTGCGGCGGTGCAAGAGTTTGTTGACAAGGAAGAAAAGGAGGCGATCTCGGAGCTGGTCAAAGTGCAGCTCGCGAAGACGCAGGAACATCTGAAGAAAACGGAGGTGTCGTCAGTCGATACCATTGGTGAAGAGGTCAGGGGGCACGTTCTGTCTCAGATTCGCATCCAGGTTGCATCGAAACACTGACCTACCGCGGTGTTAATTTCTCACGCGCACACGTTTTATCACTTGTTTTAGCCTGTTTTTTTGTCTGTCGGCGTGTGCTCTTGAAAAGTAGGATGCAGATTGAAGCGTTTTTCACTCCCTCTCCGCCAAGGCCCGTGACAAATCGCAGCGCTATTTTGCTCACTTTGTGCAATTAATTGGTAACGCTGTAAAAACAACCTTGTACGTTTCGATTTAAAGCTTTCGTGACTGCAGGGATTCATCTTCTTGGTTCTTTCGGTAAAGTCACGTAGAATGGAAATAATAAAAATTAAACATAATAAAATAATTCTCACGACGTTTCGGCCACAACGCAAGCAGCCGTCCTCACGACGCTGTCTCCCCGACAGACCTGGTCTTCACCTGAGGACGGCTGCTTGCGTTGTGGCCGAAACGTCGTGAGAATTATTTTATTATGTTTTATTTTTATTATTTTATTATTTCCATTCTATGTGACTTTACCTTGTACGTGATGATAATCTCGGCATCATTTATAAACAGCAAAAAAAGAAATGTCTTCGCAATGATTATTAGTCTTGAAGAATGCGTTGGCACGGCGGTTGATGTTCTGGGCTCTGAACCCGGTGACCTGAGCCCGAACAGTTTTGCCCCCCCTCTCCCTTAACCAACTCGAATTTACCTGCGTGGTGAAGTATGGTCAAACGATGTCTACTACCGACGTGGCCTGAAGAGGCCTCCGTTCAGTAAGTGGATTTACAAAAGTGGCTGCAAATACATTTTAACGTGAAAAAAATGTTAACAAATAATACTAATTTAAAATTGTTATAAAACTGCTGTTCATCAGAGATAATCTGAGCCTTTATTAAGACATAGTACGTCTTAATTCTTAGGAGGCATTTTCCCAATTAAGCGTGATACATGATTAAATGGCCGTCTTTAACCCTCACCTTCACTCCTTTTGCATCTTATTTCCATTATTATTAGGCTTATTTACCCAGAAAAGCCTCATTGAGTCTCAAGACTCATTTTTTATTCAGACGGGGTACTGTCAAGTTTACGCAGCAGGGGGGCGATGTTTCTCAGCGCAATTCCAGTTGAGTAATTCGCAGGATTCTTTTTGCTGCATTCGGATATTTTGGGCCAATACCAGTTGCACTGAAGTCTTTTTAAATCCTTTATATTAAGTTCACTTGCTTGCTTAGGACCGTGCAAATCTTTCGGTCGTTTTTTAACCAACTTCCCGTGATCCAATTGAGCTGACATTTTGCACACAGACTCGTTGTGCGTGACATTGCATTTTCGTGAAATTTTTTTTCCAAAATTTTACACTGTTTAGAGAGAAATAAATAAATATTTAATTACCAATTGTTTAATGCTGCCAGACAATCATCTGATCCATAGGTGGCAGCCATCTCAAGCCAGAGGACGAGAGGACTCTAGCCGCCCCGATGCCACGCATATAAAAGATTTATAGTGAAAGACTTTGTTTTTACGGGTTAATTTTTGCATGCTATGTGGGGAGAAACACCAGAGAACCTTGAGAAAAAACCCTTGCCGAACAGGGGAAGCACATACAATCTCTGGACATCTGTGAAAAAGAACTTTATAGCCCATCAGATTCCTCCAGTATAAATACATATTCTGATACTGATCACCACACAGAAAGGCACTTGAGTGAGAAATGGAACTCAGGACTTTCTTGCTGTGAGACACGAGCGTTATCACGGAGTCGCCCTGCCGCCTTTCTTGCCTTGTAGCACCAACAAGCCTTTCTATTGCTAACGCCATACGCCGCTCACCCAATCAAAGCGTACACCCAACATTATCCAGATCTCCCAATGCCATCCGTAGCTGGCCTCTTGCATGTGTCACCGCTAGCCAACTTCCTTAACGCGCCCACCACCCAGACAAACTTCCCGATTTATCGCCACGGCAATTCGAGGGTGCCTCATAATGCACGACGAAAGGGGGCCCACCAGATTGCACGTTCCTAACGAGTAATGTAATGAACGCATGGGGGGGTGCGGGGAGGGGGGGGGGGCTCTTTCGGAGCCTTGCCTCCCACGGACTGACGACACGATTTGTGATACGTGAGGAGCAGCGGCGGCGTAGAGAAGATAGGATTTCTGCGACGCTTCATTAGCTCGACCTGCGTGGTGGCTGCTGAGTGTTGCTGATGGCGACAGGCAAACGCGAGCTACACGGTGAACGTGCTCGCCGCGCCACCAAACACAATTGTCGACACATTTGGTGGTTGCGCCATTTTTTGGCGCCGCCGTGGCGAGATGTTAACTCTACCTCGCCTGGTATGCAGGAGGTCGTGGGTTCGATCCTGACCCTGACGCCTGTTGCTGTACATTTGGAGTTTGCATGTCTCTCTCTCTCTCATCATCATCACGGTGGCTAGGAGATGTTAACTACCTCGCCTGGTATACAGGTGGTCGTGGGTTCGATCCGGACCCTGACACCTGTTGTTTTTTTGGAGTTTGCGTGTCTCTCTCTCTCATCATTATCACGGTGGCAAGGAGATGTTAACTACCTCGCATGGTATGCAAGAGGTCGTGGGTTCGATCCTGACCCTGATGCCTGCTGTATATTTGGAGTTTGCGTGTTTTTCTCTCTCTCCTCATCATCACGGTGGCTAGGAGATGTTAACTACCTCGCATGGTATGCAGGAGGTCGTGGGTTCGATCCTGACCCTGACGCCTGCTGTATATTTGAAGTTTGCGTGTCTCTCTCATCATCTTCATGGTGGCGAGGAGATGTTAACTACCTCGTTTGGTATGCAAGAGGTCGTGGGTTCGATCCTGACCCTGACGCCTGCTGTATATTTGGAGTTTGTGTCTCTCTCATCATCATCACGGTGGCTAGGAGATGTTAACTACCTCACCTGGTATACAGGTGGTCGTGGGTTCGATCCGGACCCTGACGCCTGCTGTATATTTGGAGTTTGTGTGTCTCTCTCATCATGATCACGGTGGCTAGGAGATGTTAACTACCTCACCTGGTATACAGGTGGTCGTGGGTTCGATCAGGACCCTGACGCTTGCTGTATTTTTGGAGTTTGTGTATGCTCTCTCTCCCCATAGTCACATGGTCCTCTATTTTTTTCCCTCCACATTTAGAATCAAACATGCGTTTAGAGCAGTGGTTCTTAACCTGGGATGCACCCACCCCTTGGGGGGTGAGATGCCCTTTCTGAGAACTAAAAGGGTGCAGGCTGCAGTGGTTTTGAGTGTTTGTCTGCTATACATTTCCACACCATCAGCCGCTTCGTTGAGCTATCACATGTGGCCAGGTCGCTTCTGAAAAGAGCTACATAGCTCAGTGGGCCTTACCTGGTAAAATACATTTTTTTTAATTAAAATCTCTGCATGGCCGAAAAGGCTCCCCCCACCCCCACCCCACCACTGATTCTTATTTCGTATGGCCCATGTAGAGCAACCATTAGGGATTTGGTTGTAAGCGATTTAACCATTCGATTGGTTTGTCCCAGAGTTGGTGCTTTGCGGATACAAAGACAAAGATCCCCCGCATAGCCTCAGCAGACTGCTGGGGCAGCGAACACCTACGAAGGCTGAAACGACACACGAAGGGGGGGGGGGTGGGTGGCAAGCACCACACCCGGCCACCTTTGTCTTCCCAGCGACGATGTTAACACACTGCACCGGGTACTCATTTGAGGCTGAGTTGACCTAGAGACGGGTGGGAGCATTATTGGTGTTCGCCGTAAGTAGATTTCCAACTCGGGTTTCTGGGTTCTTACCACTACACCGCCCACCCAAGCATCTTTAAAACCATAATATAGGTTTTTGGGTCAGATCGCGTTATTTATAAATGTGTCGTAACCCTCCACCACCCGACAAGGCCAAACAGTAAAAAATGTGTCACGTTTTCAAAGGACAAAATTATTCACTTCTTTAGCCCACCGGTGTGCTGAAGAGAGAATCAACAGCATTTTGCTGATAATTACAATCAGCTTCATCGGGCAAGAATGGAACATCGTACTCAAATTTTAAAATGCTGTTGATTCTCTCTTCAGCACACCGGTGGGCTAAAGAAGTGAATAATTTTGTCCTTTGGAAAACGTGACACATTTTTTACTGTTTGGCCGTGTCGGGTGGTGGAGGGGGGGGGTCGCGAAAGCCTACGTGTTAAATCTTTAAAACCCTCCGCCTCCATCCACCGAGCAGTATAAATAGGTTGCGTGTGGTGGTGGGGTAAAGTGTGGGTACTTTTTCAAAGAATTCTGGCCACCATGGTAGCAGAAGCCACATATCCTGAAAAGCCAATTATAGGCCCTATAAGGCTGATGCTCTATAAGTATTTAATACGAAGAGATGGAAAGTTGTTTGTCTATTTTATTGTGCATATAATATTTGGTTCACTGCGCAGCTGGCCAAATAAAACGCGTTTACTCGGCTTAATGTCTCTCTGAGCAGATTTAGTCTATGCAAATGTGTTCAGCGCGCTATTAGCATTAAACATGCAGTGCGCACACAGCACGGTTCACCGCTCGGTCGGCCCCAACCTGAGATCCGTCCCCCGTCACCAATACCAATCATCACCACCATGAGGGTGAACGCAGCGTGATTCATCCGCGACCGATGACTGTTATCGCTTTGTGTTAAACATTACTTAAGCGCTTGTCACCGTTTATGTTACAGTCGTGCTGTCAGAATATAAGCACAGAGTAAATCTTTTTTTTTTATTGAATACGCCTACAAAGACAAAATTGCCCCTGAATGCGTCCTATTTTGTTAGTTAAGCAATATTTTTTTTTAGCTAGGAGAGACCGAATGGGGGAGTGTAAGGTGTATTAGTCTCTGGTTGCAAGGTGGTGTGGAGATGACAATTTCATCACTGCTTTTCTTCCTGAATTGTGTAACGGAGTCTTTTCTACCTACCGCAGATTTCCTTCCTTTATGCCAAAGCACTCGTGAATGTAATTGGTCACACTGTCCATTGAAGGGACCCAACTTGAAAAAAGAGTCTTGAGATTCATGAGCCTTTCTTGGGTGAATAATTACGTCCATTATAAGCCACATGCAACGTTGGAAAAAAAAAGCTGAAAAGTGTGCAGAGTATGCTTGTGGTTGAGCAACACGCGGATTATAAAACATCGTCGTCGCTGTTAATAGAATACGTTGGGCTTAGGCGGGACGCGTCGCGAGGAATGGATGATGGCCGGCAGAGGTCGCAACCGGGTACCCGATACCCGTACCCTACCCGATACCCGGCTACCCGTACCCGGCCAGGTACGGGTACCCGTTTGCGACCCTGGTGCGGCCGGGTATGGGTACGGGTAGGCCGTGAGTCACTGGTGAGTAACCGTTTGTCACTCATTTCCCAACGTCTTGTCTCTTCTCACAATTCAAGTTCCTAGAATCAACCCACCCACGCCTGCAACATGGCTTCATCCCAGAGGTCGCAATCAGGTACCCGATACCCGTACCCTACCCGGCCGGGTACGGGTAGGGTACGGGTACGGCCGGGTACGGGTACCCGTTTGCAACCCTGGTGCGGCCGGGTACGGGTAAGGGTAAGGAATCAAAACCCGTTTGCGACCTCTGATGGCCGGTAGCCGCCCCCCCCTCCCCCCCCGTAAGAACGCGTGTCAGAGGATGCACACCGTGTCCTCTGGGATGGGGGGGGGGGTGATCCTAAAGTAATATCACATCTTCTGGAGGCTGTGCTTTGGTTGAGGTTCGCACACTGTTTGCTTAACAAGTAATTGTTGTGCGGAATCTGCTAAGAATGTCAAATTTAAGTGCAAAATTCTAAATTTTACACAGTGGTGATTTTGTTCAGTCATTGGTGGCCGTGGACAAGACCATGAATAATGCCTTTTTTATTAATTATCATAACACTTCCGCTATTTTATTTGGAAAATATTATTCATGTTCTTGTCGCTGATAATATTTTCTTTATTTGTGTTATGCTTTGGTTTGTCTCCATTATATTCACCTCCAGTCTCCATGGCAATCTATGCTAGTCTACGAATAAGTTTCAGTTCATCCCTGCGTCTTGCAATCCGGAGAATGCATCGTCTTCCAGAAGACTTCCCGAACCGGATGCTTTTAAATCACCGCGTTTGCAACCCCTGGAAGACGGCTCTATAAATTACCACGTTCCTCCTATTTTAAAATTACATTTTTTTTTACCAAAATGACTCCAAAGTACATCTTACTATTCCTGAGCATCATTTGAACCTCATTTGCTAGTAACAATATGATAATTGTTTTTTTACCCATCTATCTGGCAACAAAACTGACACCTTTTTTACATGGAGTCCAATCAACTTCAAGGACAGTGCACATTATCAGAGTTATGTTTTTTGTTTGCATTATGACTGCTCGTATTGTGGTCTATGTCAACATGACTCCTTGTAAAAAAGGTGTCAGTCTTGTTGCCAGTTAGAAGGGTAAAAAACCAATTATCATTCCTGAGCATCTTAAACTTCTCGAGAATTCAACGCAGTCCCGTCACAGTGGATCATTATCGTCCGTGGTCGATAGCGGAGCGAACGAGCAAACGAGTCACCCGAGCTACTACACGCCCAGTTCGTGCGCCGCGTCGTCTTGCCTTCGTTGCCCTCGCTAATGACGCCTCGTCTCGTTTCAGGTGCGTCAGTTCCGTGAGTCCTGCAAGAAAAACATGCAGGAGGACGAGGACATCAAAGAGGTATGTTTTTGATAATTGTTTTTTTACCCTTCTATCTGGCAACAAAACTGACACCTTTTTTTACAAGGAGTCATGTTTGCATAGACCACAATACCTGCAGTTATAATGCAAACAAAAAACACAACTCTGATAATGTATGCACTGTCCTTGAAGTTGATTGGTCCACACCCGAGACAGCTTTTCTTAGAGCCTAGTCTCACATGGGTTGGACCAGATGACGCCAAAAGGCGCACAACTCAAAGACAATGCACCATCAGAGTATGAGAGCTCGGGGAAAGCATTTACACCATTGGAACCTCATTTGCCTCCCCACCCAGCCCCACCCTCCCCACCCAGCTCCTCCCTGCACAACGGACGGACGGACACAATAATCCCCTGTGGGCTGGTGTAACCAGGAGGTTCCAACCAGTATAATCTCTCTTCTCTTGTCTTGCCCCGCCTATAGGCGGTGAGCCGCTCCCGAGCAATCAGACCCACTGGGGAGTCGAGCGATCGCGACGATGACGACCAAGACGACGAGGAGAGGGCGGACGAGGTCCATACTTCTACGAGCAGGGGTCGAGGCAAGGGCAGCAGAGGTCGGGCCAGAGGTCAGGGGTCAGCGGTCACAAGGGGCAAGACGACGAGAGGAGGTCGGGGTGAGTCGTATTCCGTGGCTGGGTGCCTGTCAGGTGATCCGTGGCGGCTAGCTATTTAGGGCCTCTGTGTGCCTGTGTGTTTGTCCCTCTCTCTGTGTGTCTCTGTGTTATCTCTCTCTGCTTACGTGTCTGTCTATGTGTCTCCTGTTCTGTGTTTAAGCTCTCTCTTAAATTTAGCAATCTTTGGAAGAGCGTAATCAACCAGGTAGGGTGTTGACTGTTGTGTTTGCCGACTATCTGTGTTGTATTACATTATATTTCTAAGTTTACTAGGTTTTGATTTCTCTTTCATTTGTACCTGATGATTGCTTGTGTTGCAATCGAAACGTCGTATGCTATTGTTTAATGTATTATGTTCTCTTTCTACGTGACTTTACCGAAAGAACCAAAGAGTATTTAGGGCCTGCTCGTTATAAAAATTGTCCACCCTCAACCACATCGACAGCATAAACCGTGGCAGCTGATGCACAAATGTTAATCAAAATACCCTCCAGGGTGCGACTTCTTCTCATCCAGAACAGACCGTGCAACGTGTAACGACGCAATGCCCGATCCACGAAGGAAACATCGCAGCGATACACTCTGCTACTCCTGACGCGTTTATCTCGCTTGAGCACCTGAACGTGACATTGTAGTTGTTGCTCTGCATGTACATCAGCCATACGAAAGAAGATTATGAAAATGATAAGCTGCATACGCAACTGGCCTGAGCCTGTCGGTGCATTCCAGATGAATTTGGCCATCGACATCGTACGGTACAGGAAGTGGGTATTCATGTCGCTCGATTCCGTGGAAGAAGACCAATAGTTTCTCATGACAGATGTGGCCCCTGATGGTGCATTGTCTTTGAGTTGTGCGCCTTTTGGCGTCATCTGGTCCAACCCATGTGAGACTAGGCTCTAAGGAAAGCTGTCTCGGGTGTGGACCAATCAACTTCAAGGACAGTGCATACATTATCAGAGTTGTGTTTATTGTTTGCATTATGACGGCAGGTATTGTGGTCTATGCAAACATGACTCCTTGTAAAAAAGGTGTCAGTTTTGTTGCCAGATAGAAGGGTAAAATAACAATTATCAGATGTGGCCCCCTTTTGTGCTTCATACACCCGAGGATGTTTTATCAGTGGGAGCCCCCTCCTTTACCCCCCGACTAAGGTGGTAGTCTATAAAATATAAAAAAATACTTTTTTTTTAAAACACGCTTTAATGAAATGTACTGTCCGAGCTGCCCCTCCCCCTGCCCCCTTCCCCCATCGCCTCTCCCCTCCTTCCACATCCTCAGCCCCTCGGCGTGGCTCCCCGAGGCTTGCCGTAACGTCAGGGACCACGTGGTGATTTACAGGCAACGTGAGTTGAGCGTGGACAATTAGAGCCGTAAACTTGGACAATTAGAGCCATAAAAAAGATAGTTTAAATTTTTTTTTCAATTATAGAATATAGTATTGTCATCAGTATGACATACGTATACCAAGTTTGCAGTCGACACGACATTGGGAAGACGGTTGAAATTGAGTACAAGATTTGAGGATACAACAGACAGAATGATTTAAATTAAAAAGCGTGTAAAATGTTTAAAAATATATTTTTTTTATTGTAATTATAGAATATAGTCTTGTCATCAGTATGACATAAGTATACCAAGTTTGCAGTCGATAACACATTGGGAAGTGGGTAAAAATTGAGTTAGAATATTTTTTGAGGATATGATAACAGCCGGAGTGAGTTAAATAAAAGCGTGTAAAAACCGGCAAAATCTTTGCAAAAAATATATCCTGTCCCTGTAATGGCTGATATTAGTTGCATAATGTCTCACCCTCCCTGCTGTGCAAAGGATAAAAAAGCAATCGTTCGCTATATTTAAGTCCATCTTGAAAACTTAGCTCTTAAAATTGGCCTTTAATTCCCTAGGTCTGGCCGTGTACCTTTGCAGGTTGTTTATTTCCCACTCTCCGTACACGGGACGCATTAGTGGGATCTACTACGGATGAAATGCGCCTTACAAATCTACATTATTATTGTTGTTGTTGTTACAGCTCGGATTTGTTATTCTATTCAGGTGTCTATTTGTTTTGTCTCAATTTTACCCTGTAACATGCATTTAGATGTTCTCCTTTCTTCTGTCCTGTTCTCTCTCGCCATTAGCCTTAACACGTGTAAACATTCGCGTACAATTTGCATAAATCATGAATAAGCGTGTGTGTTCTCAACGCGCACGCAATTCGATGCGCCTATCATGACCAGCATTGAACGGCTGAAACGTTGCATGCCGAGTACGCGCGGAATCCACTTAATGGCTTTGAGGGCTGAATTTTCAAAGAGTCGATGTAAGCAGAGTGGGAAATAAATGACCTCCGGAGAAAAAGTGCTTCTCCCTCGGGCCACGTATAGCGGGGAGCAGTAGCGCAACGGTTAGTTCTGCACTGTGTGTGTCTGCGCGTTAGACTGCTTGAAGCGTTTGTGTTAGGGCAGCGGTTCTTAAAGTTTGATTCCCGGACCGCCAGCATCATCAGCCGTCGCTCGTATTTCCTTAGAACTGCTTTTTGTGTTTATTCTGTGGTCTTCTGTCGCCCCTCCGATCAGCACGGTTCGCTACGTGCGGTGCAAAAGAAGTTCAACACACGTACAGCAAATCGGCGCACACTTTCAACTGTGTGCTCTCCGTAAACGTAGCACGACTTGCGTGCGCGCGTACAATGGGAGTGGCCGGTCTCATTCATTAGCACAGCTATTATACGAAGCAGCCAAATAGGCGAGTAGCATTAGTAACGCATTAGCCACGAGTGCGTGGCTGAGACGCAATGACCTCAGGTGTGACCGATTTGAATGCCGTTAGCATTGAGCCGCTCTGCGTAACGTGCGCTTCTGTTAACGCCAACACTGCCCTTGCATCGCTCTTCCCGTTCACGTGCAGATGAGAAAGTTTCTCGTCCGCTCGTCGGCAAGAAATTACCTCTGTCTGTTCCAGTATATGGCCAAGCTCTGTTTTTTTTTTGACAGGAGGTTGAATTTAGCAATCAGGTTAACTTTACATTTGGTTGACATTGAAGTAGTTGAGGAAAGTGTCATGTTATCTACGTGGTCCCAATCAGATGTGGACATTTTATCTGTTAATGATAAGTGTGATTGAAAGAGAGTTTTGTCTAACAAGATTGTTATCAATCAGAGTAACAGCCCAATTTCCGACAGCCTAAAATCGGTACTCGCTAGAGGGTTCAATTTCGCAGTCACCCCAAAACACATCCCAGTGGATGATATCATTGCCCTGGTCGATGTAGCCCTCAAAAGTTTGGGACGCATCCCGGTAGACGTTGCAAGATCTGAAATCGCTGCTATCCTCAGAAATGCTAAGAAATCCATTAGCAACATCAGCAAGGATGAGCGTTTTGAACTCGCTCAATTAAAAAAGAGAGATGACATTGTCATCCTCTCAGCCGACAAGGGCAATGCCACTGTCATCATGGATAAAACCACTTACAACAACAAAATTCAATAGAGACCCTACCAACCGCCTTGCTATGAAAACCAACAATATCACAAAAAATTGTAAATGTTGTTGTTTCACGCTTCAACACACCGGTGAGCTAAAGTAGTGAACTAATTGTCTTTTGTCAACGTGACACTTTTTTTACTGATTGGCCGTGTCGGGTGGTGGAGGGTTACGACACATTTATAAATAACGCGATCTAAACCCACAAACGTTGATTATGAATAATATCATCACTAATTCGACTTCTCTAATCGAACCGACCAAGCAGCTCTCTCTAAAACCTTCGGCTGCTGGACCACCCAGATTTTATGGCCTTCCAAAAATCCATAAAGAAGGTACTCCGCTCCGTCCTATCGTCTCCACCATTAACTCACCCACCTTCTGTCTGAGACCCTGCTTCCTGTCACGGGCAAGACCACCTCAGCTGTACTTAACTCAGCTCACTTGGTTTCTCTAATCAAGAACATCTCACTGTCTCCAGATGATTTGCTTGTCAGTTTCGATGTAGTCTCGCTGTTCACCAAGGTACCTGTACCTGACACCATTGCAATCATTGAAGACTTGGTCCAACAGGGACTGAATCCTGATGTACCAACTTTGGTGAGGCATTGCCTTACCAACCATTACTTCACCTGGAATGGTACATTTCTACAAACAAAATGAGGGTACCCCAATGGGTTTTCTCTTATCACCAGTGGTAGCAAATGTTTTCATGGAGACAGATGCATCCAGACATCCAACCTACATCCTTCCTTGTGGAAGAGATACGTATATGACACGTTTGTTATCTCGTCACATGGCCTGCCAGCACTGAACCAATTTTTCAACCACATACATTCCATACACCCATCCATCAAATTCTCCATGGAAGTGTAAAATGATGGCAAGCTACCATTCCTGGATGTTTTGATTGAGAAGAGACATGATGGCTCGTTGGGACACTGTCTACAGGAAAGCCACCCACACGGATTCCTATCTAAAGCCTGATTCCCACCACCATCCAGCCCAGAAGAACTCCCTCATCAAAACACTACACCACAGGGCCCGTTGCATCTCCGACCAGCACCACCTAGCCAGTGGACTGGAGCACGTACGCCAAGCCCTCAATATGAATGGATATTCTGACCGCACAATCCGCAAAGCTGTATCCCCAACCATAGGGAGGGAACCATCTGAGGACCCAATCAAAACCATCACCTTGCCATACATAGCAGGAGTTACCAAAAAGATTTCCAAAATCTTGAACAAACACAAGATCCAGGTTCGATTCAACACAGTACACAAAATCCATGATTTGATCACATCTGTGAAAGATGTGATTCCTGACATGCAATATCCTGGTGTCTACAAACTAAGTTGTGTCTGCGGCAGCAGTTACATTGGGGAAACGAAACGACATGTCTCGGACCGTGTTCGCGAACACAGGGCAGATTTGAAACACGGCAGCACCAATACCTCTGCCGTGGCTGATCACGGTTTGAACGCGGTGGGCTCACACCATATTGTCTTTTCCGAGACCAAGGTACTCTGCAAACCTTCGGGCTACCATCAAAGATTTGTCCATGAAGCCATCAGATTTATAAACAAAGACATAACTTCAACCGAGAAGATGGATACAAATTAAGCAATCATTGGAAGGACGTGATCAACCAGGTAAAGTTTAAACTGCTTTGATGTTCTAGATTTGAAGCTTTCGTGACTGCAAGGATTCATATTCTTAGGTTTTTTCGGTAAAGTCACGTAGGTGAAAAATTATAATTAATAAAAGTAAAATAAATATAAATAAAAATCACGACGTTTCGGAGGCAACACAAGCTTCCGTCTTCAGGTGGAACCGTCACAGCACGATAGCTGTATCAAGTGAGAGTCCTCTCACTTGATACAGCTATCGTGCTGTGATTTTTATTAATTTTTTTTTTACTTTTATTAATTTTAATTTTTCACCTACGTGACTTTACCGAAAAACCTAAGAATATGCTTTGATGTTCCCTTCCTACCTGCCAATATTAGCCGACTCTCATATACCTGGGCCTGGCCGAGCCGAGCTTACATTTACAAGCAAATGTCTCTCTCTGATACTCGCTCTCTCCTCCTCGCTCCTATATTAACATTAGCTGCCCCGCCCATCTCTAAACCTTTATAAACAGCCTGCCTCAGCCGATTCCCCCTCTTTTTCACCTGACGACGGATGCTTGTGTTGCGATCGAAACGTCGTGATCTATTATTTTATCTACCTATGTGACTTTACCGAAAAAACCGAAGAGTATGGATTCCTGCAGTCATGAAAGCTTCAAATCAAGATCATATTTTCGGTGTAGCTAATGCATTCCCAGCTACTAATGCAAAGTGACCATTTACATGATATAGAATGTCCTTCCCACCAACAATTGCTGTGCCATTTATTGCAAAACTGTCTGAAAATTGAGCCTGGGAGATAAACATTTTTTATATATATATTTCAAGGTATGCCTTTTTCTTAGATTATTTCAAATGAATTATAAATAATCCCCAGAAAATAGATTTTGCTGAGTGAAAATTACATACTTGCCTGCCCATATGTCTCAGCCTCTTGACATTTTTGCACGACATGTGGAGGTTTCGTGTGTCAGGCCATCGGCTAAGCTTCGCACGAGGTTTCCCCGAGGTCTTTGCACCTCAATCGAAAAACAAAGTTCGGTGACCTCACCTTTCCCTTTTTGCCGGGCCACTTGCCCAGGACATCTTCCGCCGCCGCAATGTCCCAGCCGCTGAGTCACGGCCGTCATTCAAACACTCGCTCAGAGCCGCCCACCCTCGTTCATCGTTACAGCGGAACGATGAAGAATATGGAATGTTTCAGCCGTTTGTTCGGCGCCCTCCCTCGAGACGGGCCCGCCGTCGCGTGCTGCAACGCCGTCGAAGATTTGTCTGGTGAATGACGCACGCCGCCTTGCTTGAGACGAAGATGTTCTCGGTGCGCGTTCCCCAACGCTCCTCCACGTGGCTCCGCGGGGGCTGTGATGCAACAGCAGCTTGATCTGGACAATTAGTGACAACGATTAGTTTACCTCATTGCTTTCGGACGTGAATCAATATTTTACTTGCGATATTTAATTGAACAATGAAATGAGGAAAAACTACCC